TGAGCCGTTGGAGAGGAGCGCTGCAGGAACCGCCATCTTGTGGGAAGGCCGGAGTCTGTGAGAAAATAGCCAGAGAACTTCTAGCTGGATGGGGTTTGTGGAAGTCAACATGTTAACGGTGAGGGCCACGGTCACAATGTGGACAAAAACAAAAGGTTTCGAGTCCTGGTCAGGTTTGGGGATGGGGCAGCATGGGTATGTATGATATGGGTGGGAGTGGTTGCATTCTAAGAGTGAAAGGAATGAGGAGATGAAGACACAAATACATGTGTATATGCTGTTGTATGCAATGAAGCCTAGGTTAGCCTCTTGGACGGTGATGGGCGATGTGAATAATGGCCCCATCCATTACAGTTGAGGTGTAGACATGTAATTGAAGCCATCTAGGCCATCCAGCCCTTGCCAAGCCTGCTCGGACCATGCAATCCACCCATCAACTTGCACAATTGAGAGAATTAGTAAATGATTGGTATTTTTAGCCATTAAGTTCATTGTGTTAGCCATATAAAGCTTGCAATGGAGTAAATTAACTGATACAAATATGAATGTATATCAGTAGATAATTCTATGTAAGTCATAGGACATCTCTTCATGAAAACAGCATGCACACTTAAAAATATACAGGACAGCCTCATGGAGCTCACGCCTGTAATCCCAGCACTTTGGGAGGCTGAGGTATGAGGATCACTTGAGCCCAGGAGTTTGAGGTTGCAGTAAGCTATGATGATGCCACTGCACTCCAGCCTGGGCAACAGAGCAAGACCCAGTTTATTAATAATAATAATACAGGAGAATTTCAGTATACATGAGGAAAAGTATGCTATTGATGAGTAGAAACAGAAAATCAGAACCATCTCCAACAGTGTGTGTAGTATTAACCTATAATGAAAAAATATATATAAACACATACACAGTTCAAAATTCTCAATGGATATAAAACAAAACAATCAACTTTGGTTACTCTTTAGGTTTGTAACCAGAAACAGATATCAGAGGTTGCATATTCCTAATTTAATAAATTTTCAATGGTCTGAATGTGTTTTTTTTTTGTTGTTGTTGTTGTTGGTCTAATTTTCACTTGCTTGGTTTAAAACTAAGCTATGAATTCCTACCACCAGGAAACTTTCCCTTCTTTCCCTCTGCTACCTCTGAAAATCTCAATGGCTTCGTTCTTCCATATTCTGTACTGTTATACCACTGAGTGTGTTATGTGATGGCTGCCTATTTTCTGCGTGACTCTCACTATATTATGAACTTCTAGATACCATGAACTATATTTAACTCCTTCTTGAACACTTGGATCTGCCTGGTCCCTACAATGTGTCTTCCCTTTCCTACTATATATGATGAAAAAATGTTCAGGATTCAACAATAAACTATAGTACTTGTAAATAAACAGTAAAGAGTCATTAATACTCAGAAAACGAAGTCAATATGAGTAATTCTGAGTGGGCCCTAATGATGGATGTAGCAGACAATAACTTCAAAGCCAGTATCACAAATACATTCAAAGACATAAAGAAAAACATGTTTAAAGGCTTAAGGGAAAATATAATGACAACAACCCAATAAATAGCTCTATAAAGACATAGAAAATACAATAATCCAATAGAAATATTGGTGCTTAAAAGTATAATAACAAATGAAAAACTTGTATGATTACAATGACAGAAGAAAGGATGAGCAAGCTTGGAGAGCAAAAGAAATTATCCAATATAAAGAATAGAAAAAAAATATTGCAGAAAAAAATAAAGAGTCTTAAATCCCTATAAGACAACCTCAGACATACTATTAATGGGAATCACAAAAGGAAAGTTTAAAAGGGGGAAGAAGGAATATTTGAAGAAATAATGGCCAAAAATTTAGGATTAGAAGGGAACTTCCTGAACCTGATAAAAATCACGTACAAAATACCTACAGCTAATGACATGGTCTTTAATGGTGAAAGACTGATTCCACCCTAACACTGCAAACATGGCAAAAATGTCCACTCTCACTGTACCTGTTTAACACAGTGGAAGTCTTAGCCAGTGCAGTATAGTAAGAAAAGGAAAAGAAAGAAAAACATTTGAACAGCAGAAATATCGCTGCCCCGTTCATAGAACACATGACTATGCAAATATAAGGAGTCTACAAAAGAACTAGACAAGTTAGTTTAGCAAAGTCATAGGATACAAAGTCAACAAACACACGAAAAATCAATCCTATTTCTAAAGCATAACAACAAACAATTGGAAGCTAAATTATAAACACAAGAACATTTATAATAGCTCCAAAAAATATATACTTACATAAATATCTACCAAAACCCACGCAGGATGTTTATGCTATAAACTAAAAAACATTGATTTTTTAAAAATATGGAAAACATAATTAAATGGAGAGACATAGTATATTCATAGGTTGAAAGACTAAACACAGTAAAGATGCCAAATCAACCCACTTTGATTTATACATTTAATGCAATTTCAATAAAACTCCCAAAGGAGTTTTTATAGACAGGCGTATACTAGAATTTATATGGAAGGGAAAAGGTAATTAGAATAGATAAAACTATTTTGAAAAAGGAAACATAAAGCTGGAAGAATCTGAATACTTGATATTATAATTATAATCGCTGTATCACAGTAATCACTGTAGTGTGTTATTAGTGAAGCAACAGACACACATCGACAGAATAAAATGGAGAGTCAAGAAATAGACGTAAGTATGGACAACTGATTTTTGCATAGGTGCAAAATTAATTTAATGGAAAAAGTATTTTCAATAATGTTGGATCAATTGGACAACCATAGGCAAAGAAAATGAACTTTAACCTTCACCCTGTATACCAAGATTAACTCAAATGGATCATAATTCTAAATATTAAAAACAAAACTATATTATTTTTGTAAAAAGACATCATAAACAATCATGAACTAGACTAGGCAAGGAATATTCAGATATGACACCAAAATCACATTCCATAGAAGAAAATTGGCAAGTTGGACTTCATCATAATTAAAATCTTTTCCTCTGGAGTGAGGGAAGGAAGGCCACATCTAGGAGAAAATATTTTTGGAAATGACATGTCCAACAAAAATTTTATCCAGCATATATAAAGAACCCTCTGAACACCTTACTAAGAAAACAAACATTCCAATTTTAAAAATGGGCAAAAGATATGGATACTTCATCGAAGAAGATAAATGGATAGCAAACAAGCACATAAAAAGATGTTTAACATCGAAAGCCATTAGGGAAATGCCAATGAAGGCTACAGTGAGCTATACCACTACACACATAATAGAACAGCTAAAATAAAATATACTAACAACAGCAAGTGCAAGAATGTGGAGCAACTGAACTTTTAATATATTGCTAGTAGGAAATGGAACAGCCATTCTGGAAAACAGTTTGTCAGTTTCTCATAAAGTTAAACATACACTTACCATATGACCCATGAATCATGCTCCTCAGTAATTATCCTAGAGAAAAGAAAAATTGTGCTCACAGAAAGCCTTTGTACGAGAAAGTGCATAGCATCTTTATTTGTAACAGTAAAAAAACTAGAACCAACTCTAATGTCCTTCAGTGGGTGAATAGATGAACAAATTGTGGCATATCCGTATCATAGATTACTAATCATCAATAAAAATAAAACAACTATTGATAAACAGGACACCATGGATAAACTTTGGCTAATTTGCTTAAGGTCAAATAGCCAATCTCAAAAAGGTATATGCCATATTATTCCATTTTATAACATTTTACTAATGAAATTAGAGATGAACAGATCTGTGATTGCCAAGGGTTAGCAATGAGGAAAGGGTGTGACTAAAAAAGTAGCATGAGGGAGTTTGTGTTGATGCAACATTCTAAATCTTGATTGTGGTAGTGGTTACAGGAACCAATATACATGACAAAATTTCTTAAAACTATAAATAAAAAACAAAAATTCACGCATATTAAAACTGTTGAGGTCCAAATAAATTTGGCAGTTAACAGTATTGTAACAATTTCACTTTCCTGTGTTAAATAATGAACTATGGTTATGTAAGGTGTTATCTTTGGAAGAAGCTGGGTTTAGGGCATTTGGGAACTCGGGAATATTTCAGTAAGATTTAGTGAATCTGAACTTATTTCAAAATAAAGACTTATAAAAACATAATTTATATTATTTTCATATCACTTGATGCTACTTATAAGCTTAAACACATCCAAATATGTTCAATTATACTTATGAACTGAATATATCGTTTCATTTTGAAGCACTTCAAGTATTCTGAAATAACACAAACATAGAACCAAAGAAATGCAAGAATTAATCATATAATAAAGAGGCAGGCATAGAATACTCCTGTATTGTATATATTAAAATTTAATCCATGAAGAAACTGTCACAATTTAAAATATATAAAATCTGTGACAAGGCAACCAGAAATATGGCTCAAGGCATCCTGTTCCCAAATGCACCTGAGGTGTACTGTCTAAAGTTAGACTTGTGACAAAGAGCTCTCATTCATTTTGCCAAGGCTTTCCTTCATTAAGTTCTCTGATATTTTTCCAAAGATCTTCCACATTGCATGTGTTCATAAGTTTTATTCCTACATTATTTCCTGGCAAATGATGAAGCAAAATATTTTACTGCAAACTCTGCCACATTCCTTACCACAGGAAAGTCTTTCTCTAGCGTGAACTGTCTCAATCTATTGAGGTCATATTTCTGGGCAAACGTTTTCCCATAGTTATTACATTTTTACCAATTAGTAGTTTATTCATGATCTATGACCACTTTTGACAAGGTCTACCTTGCCATGTAAGGCTTTCCTACTCAGCCACATTTGTAGAATTTTTCTCAACACTTTTTCAATATAATGTCCAAAAATATTTTCATCAAAACTGATTGTATTGGAGTTGTTTTGTACATGTTTTATTTGTGTGTGTACATGTTTTCTTTGACATAAAACATGAGGTAACTGATCACTAATTACATGAGCACATACTCTGCAATTATTAAGTTATTCTTTGCAAATACTATAATATCTTGAGGACTTACAACTGGCAAGTTTTTCTCAAAATGACTACCTGTGAATCCTCTTGTGCTTAACAAGAATAGACAAGTGGGCGAAAGCTTTCCCACAATCACTGCAACCATAGGGCCTCTCTCCTGTATGTTTTCTTTGATGAACATTGAGCCCGGACTTTGTAGTGAAGGCTTTCCCACACTCAGTACATCCATATGGTTTCTCTCCTGTGTGAATTCTCTGATGTGTAATGAGATCATTTTTGCGCAAAGATAATTTTCCACACTCAGTACATGCAAAGGAAGTCTTTCCTGTGTGAAACCTCTGATGTTGTATGAGGCATGTCTTCTTCCTGAAGGTTTTACCACATTCATTGCATTTGTATGGTTTCTGTCCAGTATGGGTTTGCTGATGGATTCCTAGAGTACTCTTCATGGTGAAGCGCTTTCCACATTCATTGCATATATATGGTTTCTCCCCAGTATGAGTTCGCTGATGTGCAATGAGCATGCTTTTTCCAGTTAAGCCTTTGCCACATTCACTGCATATATAGGGTTTCTCTCCTGTATGAGTGCGCCGATGTACATTGAGGTGACTCTTCTCAGTGAAGCCTTTTCCACACTCACTACATATGTAAGGTTTCTCTCCAGTGTGAGTTCGTTGATGTCCAATTAGCCGGATCTTTGCTGGAAAGCCCTTTCCACATTCACTACATACATAGGGTTTCTCTCCTGTATGAGTTCGCTGATGTACAATCAGGCGGCTCTTCACAGTGAAACCTTTTCCACAATCATTGCATACATATGGCTTCTCTGCAGTATGAGTTCGCTGATGTACAATGAGGTCACTCTTCATGGTGAAGCCTTTTCGACATTCAGTGCATACATAGGGTTTCTCTCCTGTATGTGTTCGCTGATGTCTGATTAGAGGGCTCTTCAAGGTGAAGCCTTTTCCACACTCATTGCATATATAGGGTTTCTCTCCAGTATGAGTTCGTTGATGTACAATAAGACAGTGCTTCACTGAAAAGCCTTTTCCACATTCACTGCATGTATATAATTTCTCTTCTGTATGAGTTTGCTGATGTGTGATAAGACTGTTCTTCAAGGTGAAGCCTTTCCCACATTTATTGCACACAAAGGGTTTCTCACCAGTATGAGTTCGATGATGTGCAGTAAGACGCCTCTTCTCGATAAAGCCTTTACCACATTCACTACATATATAAGGCTTCTCTCCTGTATGAGTTTTCTGATGTGTAGTTAGACTAAACTTTGTAGAGAAGGCTTTCTCACATACACTGCATTCATGGGGTTTCTCTCCTGTGTGAGTTCGCTGATGATAAATAAGCCGACACTTTTTGATGAAGGCTTTCCCACATTCACTACATGTATAAGGTTTCTCTCCCATATGAGTTTTCTGATGTATATTGAACTGTAATTTCTTGAGGAAGGTTTTGTCACATTCAGTGCATTCGTAATATTTCAGTCCTGTATGAGTTCTCTGATGTTCCATTAGCCTGGATTTTCTGGAGAATGCTTTCCCACACATACTGCATTCATAAGGTTTTTCTCCAGTATGAACTCTCTGATGATCAACGAACTGAGACAACTTGATGAACCCTTTCCCACATTCACTGCATACATGAGCTTTCTCTATGCTGGGAGTTCTCTGTTGCTTAATGACCTGGGGTTTATTTTTGATAGGTTTTGTACTTATAGGGAATTTAATTTCAGAAGAAAATTGTTCATGGTTATCATGAAAAAGGGATTTCCCATAAACATTAAACTCAATAGAGTTCTTTAGGTCACAGCTTCCGTTCTGGTTTTCAAAACTAAAATTTGATTTTAAAGGTTTTTCATGTAAGTCAAACATATCACAATTTTGCTTTAACAGCAAATGACCTCTCTTCTGAATACTTTGATCTTGCAAGTGATGCTGCAGAGGATTATCAATTTTCCTGATGTCTAGGAAAGAAGAGAACAGTGAATCATTCTATCATCTTTCTTTAGAGTAAAACTGTTTAAAAAATGCCTTGCTGTGAAGTGACTCTTTAGTGACAACCCTATATTAGTATAAAGGAAAGTCCATGTATGTATATCTCTTATCTCTTGCATATTGTAAAACCCAATAATATGAATACGCCAAAAAGCAAAAGCAGTAAGTGTACAAACAAGGCTAGATAATTCATAATATATATAAATTTAGTGGTTTTTCTAAATCAGTCTTTACAAAATGCATATAGTCAATTATAAACAGGTCATTTTTAGCAGGGAACCCCAGAATTTGGTGGGACACAAGACCATAGAAGTTGAAGAAATACCACACTACACAGGTTAATTCCAAATGACAAGGGCTACATTCATTTATTCTACAAATATTTGTTGAATGACATCTATGTGTAAGTCACTATGCTCATATTTGAGATATAAAAACATTTCTTATTTTCACAAAAGTTTAATTCTAGTTATGGAAAAATAAATTAACAAAAAAGCAAAGAAATAAAGAAGGTAACTATAGTTTGTGAAATGTGGTTAATGGTACAATGAAGATATAGGAGGTGGAAAAAATCAGAATATAAAGAAAAGACAAGATTCACTAATGGGTTCTAAGGGAGAAATGGGAAGAGGGTTAATACAAGAGAGGACTCAAAGATTATTCCAAAAATTATACGGCTTCAGCCACCGGGTAGGGGGAAAAAAAACCTCATGATGAAATAAAAAGTATTACTGAAGTCTGGAACGAAGGGAAAAATCTAGCATATACTGTGAAACATAAAAAGTTTAAGATGATTATTACTACATATCCAAGTACAAACGTGAAGAAATTGGTTGAATATATAAATCTTGAAAAAGGTCTTATCTGGAAATAGCAACGTGGACGTATACAAATTATTCAAAGAAAGAGTATAGGATGAGACTGTATTTGGAAAAACGTAGAAAAAAACAAGGTGAAGGCACGGGGCCAAGGATTTAGTCATTCCAACAATGTAAAGTTTTGGAAGTTTTTGAGCCCTCCGAAATGAACCAAATACCAACTATTGTGACCAGGTACATGACTGGAGATCCAGGTGTACAGAACAATTATCGCAGAATGGTAAGTAAGAATGTGAGGGTGCCTTAAAAATTGCTAAGAAAGTAGATTTTAACTAACAACAAAAAAAAGGAATAAGTATGTAAGGGAATGCTTTTATTTTTATTTTTTGAGATAGGGTCTTGCTCTGTCACCCAGGCAGGAGTACAGCGGTGCAATCATAGCTCACTGTAACCCCGAACTCTTGGGCTTAAATGATCCTTCCACTTCAGACTCGCAAGTAGCTAGGACTACAGGGGTGTACCACCACACCCCGCTATTTTTTTTTAACTTATTTTTTGTAGAGACAGCGTTTTGCTATGTTGCCCAGGCCAGTCTTGAACTACTGGCCTCAAGGGATCTTCCTATGTTGGCCTCCCAAGGTGCTGGGATTACAGGTTTTAAACCACCACGCCCAGCCCACAGTAATAAATTTTTAAAAAAGAAAAGAATGTGAGATCCTCAGCATTTGATTTCAAGTGTGATAGATTATTGAGTGGTTATCACTTCCAAAAACTTGCTATTCTTCTTCATTCTATAGACCACCACTAAACTGATTTTCCCAAAGCATCAATCTCAAGTTTAGATGAAGGATTCTACAGTTAAGACTACAACTGATGGCTTAATTGAATCATACTCTCCTATATTCCTACAGAAAGAGGGAATAATAATGTAAAGTATTAACTCAGGAGGCTTGGGTTATTCCATCCCTGTACATCCCTAAGAAAGAACTGGCCTCGGCTGGCTCCTGGAAGATAAGCTTTGAGTCCCTGGAACATTTTACCTGATAAGAGTATTATTTTATGCCTGAGGCCTTGGTCCATACCAGATAGTTAATGCTAACAAGGTGATTTAGGGTAGATAACTGTTTTTGTATGCTTGAGGCTTTGGGCTACATTGTATCATTATGACTGTGAGGGGCTAGAGACTCCAGCCTTGGGGTGAGTCTCCCTGGATAGGAATGATATATTAAATGTTCCAAAATTGATTATGATAATGTTTATACAACTAGGTGAATATACTAAAAGATCATAGAATTGTACACTTTAAATGGGTGAATCATATGACATGTACATTATATCTCAATAGCACCGTTAAAAAATATGAGAAAACACAAGCTTTAGGGAAATGAATGCAGTGGCAACATCTAAAATGAACTGAAGAAAGTTCAGAATTGGCAACACTATGAAGGAAGTAACTTGTAGCAGACATAAATTCTGATCTGATTTGGGATAGAAATAATACTGGGTATTGAAAGTTCTTTTCCAATTAATCAACTGAAATAGTAGACAACTTTAAGACGAGAGCTCAGCATGTAAGAGAATATTTGATGTAATGCCAGGATAGAGAGAATTTAAGATGTCTGGTAAGGAAGGAGACCGTGAATTTAAAACAAGGATAGCTGAAAGTATTTTTCTTAAAGGGAAGGTGGTTCACGTTCCTCACACACAAAATGGGAAGTTACAGGCCAGCTGCCATGAAAACAAGTAAAATACATAGAAATAAAGTGTACATTAGATAATATTAAGGGAAAAGTCAATATGGGAGTCTCTTCCAGAGAACAGGAAGAGGTTAACTCATGGAATGAAGGAGTATTTTAAGAGCCATGAGAATAGAAAAGAAAATGAAAAGAAACGTATGGCGAACTCTCGTACGGGGGAATAAGAGAAGCTAAAGAACCACAACATGCTCAGAGACCAGGTTATCATGGGGCACAGCATCCAAGGTGGGGTTGGATGATATGAAGGGAAACTACTATTTCCTAACAGGGCAGGAAGGTGTAGGAGTCAGAAACAAGGGGACGCGTTCGAATTCTCTCTAGAGGCCTGGAAAGTGGGGTTTCGTAGCAAGAGAGCCGGTAACATAGGCAGAGACATTGTGACAGTGGACAAAGAAAAGGAAGACTGGAACATCCCAGGAAGAAGACAACCATGCAAACAAAATCAAGATGTATACAAAATAAACAGGGATGAGATCTCAGAAGGAAAAAAAGGGGTATATATTCCTCCATATTTCTACAAAGAAGAAGAGCTCTTCCATGGGAAGAAAGAGGCTGCTATATCCCCAGACACTCTCCCAGCTTTGACGCCTGCTCTGCATGAGCAGAATATGGCTTCCGTGGCTGCCCACCTGGCTGGTTCTCTCACTCACCAGAACAGATTTGGCCACAGATTTCATCCTCTATCATCCACAGCTCTCCTCGTTCCAACTTGGAGAGTGTATCTGATTTGCTGGCTTGATACCCTGTTCAGGGAAATGACAGAAGACTTAGACACGTGGAATTGGGCTGACAATGTCAAGAAGGGAGAATGTTATATTTTAGAGACTAAACAGGTTTCACGTGTCTAACATCAGGGCTTTTTCCCCAGGAGAGGGCAAATTATACCCTCTTGTGTGCGGCAAGAGAAGGATCTGAGAATCGACCACTTCGGAGTACTGCTGGTATTCTCAAGATTTAGGCAGCTGAGAAATAAAGGCCACTGACAGGCACCCTCTGAGCGACACAGGGCAGCTGTCCTCACCCACTGACACCAGGTTGCTGTAGTTCTCCAGCATCACGTCCCGGTACAGGTCCTTCTGCGCAGGGCCCAGGAGCTGCCACTCCTCCCAGGTGAACTCCACGGCCAAGTCCTCCAGGGTCAGCGATTCCTGAGAAACACAGTCCTGCTTGATGAAGCGATATTCTTTTGGTGATATGAAGAGAATATAAAGGAAGTTATTCTGCTCGTTTTCACCATATAGGAAACTGGTGTTTTTTTCTTAATACGATGTGATAGAATGAGAATCCTGGTAAAATACTCTGTGCAGTCATCCATTCATTCAACAAAGTTGAAAGTTTAAAGACGTTTCTGTAATATGTAGCCATCAAATCCTCTTGCTAACATAAGAACATCTGTAATATATAGCATCTATTTGCCAATACCAAACTGTATGCTAGTTATAAGTAGATTAATAACACAGGTGCTTAAATTCACCATAAGCCTTCAAACCAATATCAACATCAGTAAAGAAGAGATCACAGGTGCTAGTATCACAAGGTAATAAATGCTAAATAACTATAGTTAATACATTTTAAGAAAAGAAACTGCACAAAACATGTATGAAGCACAAGAGATTATTAGATGATTAAGCAAATTGGATAAAAATTATTCTTAAAATATATATAAACACATGTATATACACACACAAATGCATACCTATGTGTGTACATTATTAGGATTAATACCTTATTAGATACAATGAGGAAACAGCTATAGGAAACCTGCTTTTGTATTTATGAGAAGGCTTCAGTTAAGACCACCACCTACAGGCAGGGTGTGGTGGCTCATGCCTATAATCCCAGCACTCTGGGAGGTCAAAGTGGGAAGACTGTTTGAGTTTAGGCGTTCAAGATCAGCCTGAGCAAGAGTGAGACCCCATCTCTACCAAAAATAGAAAAATTAGCTGTGCGTGGTGGCAAGTACCTATAGTCACAGCTACTCGGGAGGCTGAGACAGGAGAATCGCTTGAACCCTGGAGTTTGAGCTTGCTGCAAGCTATAATGCCACTGCACTTTAGCTGGGGCAACAGAACAAGACTCGGTCTCATAAAAAAGCAAAAAACTAAAAAAACAACTACCTACCACATCACCTCTGTGAAGAACCATCAAAGACCTATGTAAGCCTCAGAACTACGTGCCATGAAACATTAACATCTCTCAAGAAACCGGTCTGCTTTCTCTCAGCTGATGGAACCTATCGTGATTCTCTTATACGGCTGTCAGAGACATCAGACGCAAGCTGATGGCAAGTGTAGCCCACAGGGTCCTGCACAGTTCACGTAGTACGAATCCCATGAATAATATATTCCTGATCCTACTGTGCACCCAGATCTTTCCAGATCCTGCTATTCCCAATTTATACTTTTCTGTTTAATTGTGCTGATTTTTACAGGCCTCTAAAAATCCACTGGCGAATAAAGAAAACAATAAAACAAACCAAAAGTCACCTGGGCCTGCATCATTTTCTCCATTTGGGAAATGGCTGCTAACTAGGGTGCTCTGTCTTTGTCTGTCTGGATCAGCTCTAAATTTCTGTTCAAAAATCTCAATCTCAAGTCAAGGGTGTCCACAGAAGTGGTGATACTCAAGGCTTAGAATCTCTGCCTCCTTCCTTTGCTTGATTTCTCTTGTTCTCAGCACCTGTGGGCTGAAGAGCAAATTACTCTGAGTGGTACATTCTCTTTAGGCCTAGATGTTGTCACGATTGTTGTGTACTCACCTTAAATCAAGGCCTGGAAATATCTAGCTGTCCTTTTAGTGCTTCAGAAGATTTTACATCTGGGCTAGCAAAACATAACATTCTGGATGTTTGGAAGGTACATGCTCCTTCTCTAAAGGGGAAGTGGTATGACTACTGCTAGCAGTGAAAGAAGATGTGGAAAAGAGAACCGGGAATCCTCAGGCAGATCAATTTTAGCAAAGAGGACATACACACAGGACGCACATATATTTTTTTCCTTTTAAACCATGTGCACCCATCTACCTTTTCAAGTCTTTTTACATTCTAGGGTACAAATACTATAATTTGACAACATCATCCTAAGAAAATAATAAATACTGTCTTATTTAATTACTTATCACCGTCCATGTCTTGATTCTCTGTAAAGTACTATAAGTATAAATCTATAAAGCATATTCAGAAAATATATTCTTGAGGAATCAAACTTAAATAAAGACATCTTCAGGCAAACCAGAGAAGATTCTTCATCAGAAGGCCTGCAGCACAGCGAATGCCAATGAGTATTCCTCAAGCAAAGGGAAAGAAGCTTCTAGGATAAGCAGAGGAGCAAGAAGGAGTAAGAGGAGCAAAGCTGGTGAGTAAGAGATAAAGCCTAAATTACTACGGACTGGAAAAATATCAATGATAATATCATCGCAGGAAGTTTTAATACATAAGTGTTAAAATATACTGTAAGAGCATATAAATTAGGAGGATGGTACATGAAAAAGTATTTTATGATATCTGTATAGTAGGAGTAGAATACAAAATACTAATTACCATAACACTGACAAAGTTTATATGTTATTTGTAATCTCTAGTGCCAGCAATAAAATATTTAAAAAAAAAATTATTTCCATGTAAAAAAAAACCCATTTCCTATGATTTCTGTGGGAACCACTCAATTCTACCACCATAGCTCAAAAACAGCACTATACAAAAAAATAGACAAATGAGTATGGCTGGGTTCCAATAAAACTTTATTAACAAAAACAGGCACTAGGCTAGATTTAGTCCATGGGCTCTAATTGCCCAAACTTCAATTAGTGCAGAAAAGCCATACTGACCCTACATCAAGGGTCAGTAACATAGTGTCCAGGGGCTGGGCCACTGGTTTTGTAAACAAAGTCTTGTGGCAACACAGCCAGAGCCATTCTATAACATATTGTCTCGGGCTGTTTTCACATTACAATGGCAGAGTTGAAAATTTGGGTCTAGAAACATTACTCAATGCAATGTAGTTTGCAAAAATAATCGAAGATGACTTTTGAGTATAAGAAGGGACAAATTATCAGTATTTCCCTAATGTCTGTATACCTCTTTAGTCAGGTGGCTGGTTACAAAATTTAAATAGAATAATCCTATACCATCCTAAAACGTACACAGGACAAGAGTCAGCACTGAAGAGCAGAACATTTCTTGCGAAAAATTTAACATTCTATTGAAAGCTGCTAATAAAAGTATCCCTGGTAACCCTAAATTCCATTTCTGGGACTTTCTGAAAAGGAAATATTGGCAAAAGGGTGTTGACAGGTCATTTTACTTTCTTCATTGGATTTTTCATTAAGTACACATATGTTTAAATAAGCAAATATCAGCATTCTACATTTAAAATAAAAGTGCTGTTCATAGATCAGTAATGTAAGTTCATGGCTTACAATGTATTCATTACTAGAAAAAAGAGAAAGAAACAAGGAGGGAGGACGAGAGAGAGAACGTGAGTTATAAATACAAATTTTGCAAAAGACAGAACCACAAATAACCCTGGAAGATAACCTTGAGGAAGAGATTTTAACTTCTCTTTTTACTAACAAAGAAACAGACACACATCCTACAAACCACACAATGAGCAAGAAGTACAATCAGGATTGAAAAACCAGGTTCATTTAATTCCAAAGTCCACTTTCATTCCATTTTATACCTAGCCAAAATTATTTGTAAATAAGATGTCTCCTATTAAGTAAACAAAGAAAGCAACTAAAATGCTATTAATAGAATTCTAGCTAATCATATGACTGCAGAATTTTTTAGAGGTATGGTGCTGATGTCTGCAACTTAATTTAAAATATATCAAAATCAACAATAAAAAGGAATGATTTCTCAACAGAGGAATAGGTAGATGCTTAGATAACTGATGCAGCTAATCTAACATAACATTTATGGTAAAATCTAGGTGGTAGACATATGGGTGGTAACTTGGAAACTTCTTTCAATATTTCTATAGCTTGGAAATTTTTCACAAAAATATGTTGAGCAGTGAGCAAAAATACTGTAATATTAAAAATTTAATAGGATAATCAAATATAAATATCTAACACATTGACTTTTTATAGAATATTATAAGGAAAGGGCAGTTAGAAAATAATAATAACACACTGCAATAAAAGTAAATAATCTAGACTGGAGATGAAAGGCAGAAAAATATATCCATAGGTAAATGCACCATCACAAAATGTTCTTAAAAATGATACCTAAATCCAAATGTATGCATACACTTAATGTGAATCCACTCAATACCACTGGTTCAAACATTAAAAATAATTTGTAAATGTTTATTACACCATATGAAGTGAAAAAGAAAATCACAGTACCATTTATGTGATTTATATTAAGCACATAACACCCAAGCCCAAAATTGAAATACACTAAAAATTTGACAAAGGTTATCTTTGAATAACAGAACTTACCATGACAGAGATGTTATTTTACTTGCGTCAGAAAGAACTTGAAAAGAAATATCCAAGAGGAATACGCTGGAAACTTGCAGGACAAAGAGTAAAAGCCGCATCTTAAATATAAAACATACTACTTTTAGATATGCTAGATCATGGATCTCGCCAAAAAATTTCATTTCTGAGGGTTCAAAAGTAAGGGGTGTTGTAGGGTGCGAAAGGGAATATAAAAACTAGTCGTGGAGAAGGGCATTGGGCAGAAGGGAAATGTTAACGTACGTCAAGTCTGTTCCAGCAGCCAAGGTTGCAGCTCCACCCACCACCAGCCGCGGTACCCAGGCCTCCACGGTAGCAGCACCTCGGTACCACTTACGCCACCGCCACCCGGCTTAATTCCAAAACCTGGACCAGAAACCCCAAAACAGTCCCTGGGTCCTTTAGCCCCGGGACCACACACTGCATTCGCTGCCAAACAAACCCTCCAGTTTGCAATCACTGAGCACTGCAGACAATAAACAGCAAAGACACGAAAATGAAACCTCGGCAGTCAGTGGTTGATCTCTACAGATCTTTTAACCACGAACCGCAAGAGGACCTTGTGACCGATGCCAAAGGCACCCCCGTCACATGCACCCTATTATGGACCCCTGAGCGTCCCCCTGCAACAGAAAACGCACCCACGCTCGGCTCCCGAAGGAATTCCTCTCGCATCACCAACGCGGACGCCGAAAGACCCCCGCCCATCACCATTGTCCACGAACAGATCCAGCCGCCACCGACCTTTCTCCTCCAGTCACCACAGCGACGGCCCTGCGCGTGAACTTACTTCGCCGAACTTCGCCGGTTACCGGCCTCATCGCTCAGCCTCCTCGCAGCGCTACAGCGGATAACGCGGTCGGCTGCGTAAAAGCAGTTCCGTTACGAGCGCTCGCTCTGGAGGAAGATGGCCGCGCCCGCCTCGCCGTGGCCCGTGGGGGCGGCCATCTTTGAGTTTCTGACGTACACAAGCGAAAGTGGCCGTGTTTGCGCTGCTGACCAGGGATGGCTGGGACGATGAAACGGCGTTGAAAGTATCCCATTTCCTGCCACCTCAGCCTTTCACAAAAACGATAGGCTCTAGCTTTCGCAAGACGAAAATGGCGTGGGGTAAATCCTTATCAGCGAGCTGAGTAGAAAACTAAGATGGCAGCGGCCTTTTCCACTTTGTACAAAGGATAGGAAACCCCCCACTGGGCGCAGCCATACTGTTTTACAAGAAGTTGAGGCATCTGTACAGCGCAGAACTCGCACTTGGTAAGGGAGAAGGGGAGCTGGCCGAGAGGGAGGACGCTTTGGCTGGGTTTCTGGCAGAAAGTGGCTTGAAGCAACTTTTGAACACAGAACAGGGTTGGTAGAAGTTTTGAGGGTACAAGGATGGAGGTGGCAGACTAGGAAATAAAAACGCCTGGAAGGCGCCAATGTTTGGATGAGAGGCATGCGGGAGAGGCCACTAAAGGCCAATAAAAGCCAGACAAGTTCAGTACCCAATGCGAGGGCAGAACCTATGACAAGAGACTGGACTTTTCCCCTTTTGACCCTGGTGGAGCCAAAAACCATAGCAGGACTCAGGACGAATGGACAGAAATTAGGGGAGCAGGACAACTTCAGAGGGAACGAAAGGTGTGTAAAAAATAAAGTAATCATGTTATCCTACGTGTTTCAACTGAAAATAGCGACTACGAAATCACAGTAATGGTAAACCATAAATATGGATCCAACTAAATCTGTCATGTAACTATATTGGAAGAATGGGGTGGTAGGGTAAGGAAAAGAAACGCCTGCGTGAATGTGTGTGTGACATAGATAACCAGAATATTAATACAGACAGAGAAATTGCCAAACTATTTTCCAGAGTCGATGTACCATTTTCTATTCCCACCATCAATATATGACATCCACTTTTTCTGCATATTTGTTGTCATTTGCTATAAAGATAACTTAAAAGGAATAAGAAAAAGATAACCAATTAAAAATCTCCCTAGGCCTGGCACGGTGGCTCACGTCTGTAATCCTAGCACTCTGGGAGGCCAAAGCGGGAGGATCACTTGAGCTCAGGAGACCAGCCTGAGCAAGAGCGAGACCCAGTCTCTATCAAAAATAGAAAAAAAATTAGCCAGGCATGGTGGCATGCACATGTAGTCCCAGCTACTTGGGAGGCTGAGGCAGGAAGATGCTTGAGCCCAAGGGTTTGAGGTTTCCGTGAGCTGTGATCATGTCACTGCAATCTACCCAAGGCGACAGTGCAAGACTCTGTCTAAAAAAAAAAGGAAAAAAAGAAATAATATATACTGAAAATAAATTAAACTGCCCTTAGAGATGACATGATCATGTATGTAATTTCCAACAATATGCAAAATTGTGTTAAACTGGAAATAATATGTCAGTTTAACAAGTTTGCAGGAGAGAGATCAACAAACAATAAATCATTGGAAACCATGATTTTCAATAATATCCCCAACCCTTTAAAAAAAATCACTTAAATATAAAATTAACAAAAACATGTAGCAGGCTGGGCGCGGTGGCTCACGCCTGTAATCCTAGCACCCTGGAAGGGCAAGGTGGGAGGACTGCTTGAGCTCAGGAGTTTGAGACCAGCCTGAGCAAGAGTGAGACCCCGTCACACACACACACACACACACACACACACACACACACACACACACACACACACACACACACTAATTCATCAACTCAGATAAACCTTAAGAGCAATTTGCTGAGCGGCAAAAATGCCAAAAGCTTACATACTCCCTATAAATAAAAATGTATAGATTTATATAAATCTTATATAAAAACCATTTTTAAAATGATTTTAAATGATTCAATTTTTAAAAATATGGAATCAGCCAGGCGCGGTGACTCACGCCTGTAATCTTTGGGAGGCCGAGGCAGGCGGATTGTTTGAGCTCAGGAGTTCGAGACCAGCCTGAGCAAGAGCGAGACCCCGTCTCTACTAAAAACAGAAAGAAATTAATCGGACAACTAAAAATATATAGAAAAAAAAAATTAGCCGGGCATGGTGGTGCATGCTTATAGTCCTAGCTATTCGGGAGGCTGAGGCAGAAGGATTGCTTGAGCCCAGGAGTTTTAGGTTGCTGTGAGCTAGGCTGACACCACAGCACTCTAGCCCAGGCAACACGGTGAGATTCTGTCTCAAAAAGAAAAAAGGAATCACTGACAAGGCAACATTCACGACATGACAAAATTACACTAATGGAAAAGAAGTTGGCAGAGTTCGGCATAAAAAGGTAGCACAAAGGGGGTTGTGTTGATTAAACCTTTTGACCTGGTTGTTCTGTTGGTTACATTGTTCTGGAGTATTTTCTAAACATCAATAAACTCTCCAGGCTCAGTGTGGTGGCTCATGCCTGTAATCCTAGCACTCTGGGAAGCCAAGGTGGGAGGATCTCTTGAGCTCAGGATTTCAAGACCAGCCTGCACAAGAGCGAGACCCTGTCTCTACTAAAAATAGAAAAATTAGCTGGGTGTCCTATAGTCTCAGCTACTTGGGAGGCTGAGGCAGGAGGATCGCTTGAGCCCAAGGGTTTGACGTTGCAGTGAGTTATGACGCCACTGCACTCTACCCAGAGCGACAGAGCAAGACTCTGTCTCAAAAAAGAAAAATGAATAAATTCTCCAATTTTCCCATACCAAGTGGGTGTCCTGCAATTCAATTACGACACTAAGTACTCCAAGTTGGTGCAGACTCCACAATTTAAGGGACTCAGTTTGCCCCCACTTCGGATGCCGGTTACAAGTCCTTGGCCACCTGTACTTCTAACTGACTGGCTATAAATCGAGATGCCCATGACCCCTGCCTCAGGTTTCCTAAAATGGCTCACAAAACTCAGGAAAACAGTTTACTGAACATTGACTAGTTTATTATAAAGGACAAAAACGAACAGCCAGAGAAAGAGGTACATAGAACACAGTTTGGAAGGGTCCAGTGCTCAGGAGCCTCTGTCCCCATGGAGTTAGGGTTCAAGACCCTCCGGGCATGTGCACATGTTCACCAGTTTGGAAGCTTTTTGAAGCTTATTGTTCAGGAGTTCAATCTCCGGTCTCCCTCCCTTCCAGGAGGTGAGGGGAAAGGGACTGAGAGTTTCCATCCTGTGATCATTTGAACTGGCTGGTGACCAGCTGCATCCATCCTGAGGCCCCACCTGAAGTCACCTTATTAGCATACTTAGGTGTGATTAAAAGGAGCTTGCTGTGAGTAACAAAAACACTCCTAACACTCATGAAATTCCAAAGGTTTTAAGGGGCTCTGTGCCAGGAACCAGATATTTAAGACTAAATATACTTCTTATTATACCACCATTTTATATAATAAAAACAATCTGGGGAGAACAGATAAATTTTCAAAAATATGGAATCACTCACAAGGCAACTAGAAACGAGGTTCAAGGTATCCTGTCTGAAAATGCACACCAAGTATATTATTTGATGTATGATGAACTTAGACTTATAACAAAAAGCACTCAAACATTCATCATTTTCACTGGACTTCATTCTTTCATAAGCTCTCTGATATTTTGCTAAAAGTGCTCCACATTTAGCATGTACAGACAATTTTACTTTCTATTTAATTTCCTGAAAAATGAAGAGGCAGAAGGTATCAGTAAAATCCTGTCGTAACTAACACTCCTTGAGTCTTATTTCTGGGTAAAGGCTTTGTCGTGGTCATCACATTCCTACCAACAATAAGCTCACTGATGATCTATGACGAAGCTGATAATAAAGTCTATCTGCCCACAGAAGGCTTTCCTTTCTCTGCAGTAGCAGAATTTGTCTCAGTATATACTTTGCCGACATATGAGCTAGAAATTATCACTCAAGGCATTTTCAAATGCATTATAGTTTATCCAAAGTGTTTTGACAGAAAATGTGAGGTAAAGGATCACTAAAGGCACTACCGTGTTTACTGTATTCACCAAGTTTATCATCTGGGCGAATTCTTTCGTCTCCTGAGGGCACACATCTGACAGCAGGCAGCACAATGATTACATCCCAATCTGCTAGAAACAAACCCGTTTGAGAAAGTCTGAGGTGCCACAAAAGGCATTTCCACAGCCATTGCATTCATAAGCTTTTTGTTTTGCGTAAGTTCATTTTTAAGTAATAAGCTGTGACTCTCTGTTAGAGGAATTTTCAACTTCACTGATTCTGCCCATTTCTCTTACGTGCTTTTTCTTATGTTTAACAAGGTTTGATAAGTGGGAAAAGGCTTTCTCACAACTGCTGCATCCATATGGTCTCTCTCCCGTATGAGTTCTTTGATGCACATTGAGTACCGACTTTGTGGTGAAGGCTTTCCCACATGCATTGCACTCGTAAGGCTTCTCTCCCGTGTGAATTCTCTGATGGGTAATGAGACCGTATTTGTGTGAATAGGATTTTCCACACTCAGTACACACAAAGGGAGTCTTTCCTGTGTGACATCGCTCATGTTGTATGAGGCATATTTTCTGGCTGAAGGCTTTACCACACTCATTGCATTCATAGGGTTTTTCTCCTGTATGAGTTCGCTGATGTATAATGAGGGTGCGCTTTGTGGTGAAGCTTTTTCCACATTCATTGCATATATAAGATTTCTCTCCTGTATGAGTTCGCTGATGTATGACAAGAGTGCGCTTCACAGTGAAGCCTTTTCCGCATTCACTGCATATATAAGACTTTTCCCCTGTATGAGATCGCTGATGTACAATGAGATTGCTCTTCACCGTAAAGCCTTTCCCACATTCACTGCATACATAGGGCTTCTCTCCCGTATGAGTTCGCTGATGAACAACAAGATAGCGCTTCATGGTGAAGTCTTTTCCACATTCACTGCAAATATAAGGTTTCTCCCCTGTATGAGTTCGCTGATGTACAATGAGATTGCTCTTCACAGTGAAGCCTTTTCCACATTCATTACATACGTAAGGTTTCTCTCCACTATGAGTTCGCTGATGAGCAATTAGATAGCGCTTCATCGTAAAGCCCTTTCCACACTGACTGCATACATAGGATTTCTCTTCTGTCTGGGTTTGCTGATGTGCGATGAGACTGCTCTTCACAGTAGAGCCTTTTCTGTATTCATTAGGTATAAAGGCTTTGTCTCTTGTATGAGCTTTCAGATGCTTAGTGACCATGACACTTCTAGATGATTTCTCACACTGACCACTTCTAGAATCCTCTCCTGCATGAATGCTCTCTTGGCAAACCAACTGAGACTTCCTGAGGAGGGTCTGCTCAAACTCAATGGATGCATGGAGTTTCTCAATTTTCTGAGTCCTCTGATGCTTAAAGACTTGGAATTTAGCATCGATAGACTTTTTACTTTCAGGGAATTGAATATTAGTATACATATGTTCCTGTTTACCATGTAGAAAGGTTTTCTCACCTCCACTAAACTCAACAGAGTTATTTGTTTCATATCTTCTCTTCTGGTTGACTAAACTTAAACATGATTTCAAAGTTTGTCTACATAAGTCAAACATATCACGATTTTGCACTAGGGGCAAATGTGTTTTGCTCAGATGAACAATATTTCTAAACACGTTCTCTTCACTGCATTGTCGCATGCTCCGCAGAAATCTTTGGTATGGAAAGTGTACTTGCAGATAACTGTCAGCTTTTCTGATTCCTAAGAAAAAATAGAATAACAAAATCCTCCATGAGAATGGTATGGAATAAAAATGCTTACAAGATGAATTGGTGAGGGCTGGCTCTTTGTTGTCAACTGTATGACCCGAGTATAAAAGAAAATTATAAAGATGCAAGATGAAATAAATAAGGACCAGATCCAAGAAGACACAAAAGATATATTCAATGCTAAACGCCTTTGAAAAAAAGTTCTCATATGGGAAGATGAGTATGTGGAGGAGCTGGGTAGGTACCCTCACATGCTTTAGAGCTCTGATACTCTCCCTTAATAACTAGAAAAGACTTCTATCGTCACTGCCCTTGCTGGTTCTCACTAACTCACCTGGACAATTTCTATTCTGGATTTTACCTTCTATTACACATGGTTCTTCTCCTTGTGCCAACTTGGACAGTGCATCTGGCTTGCTAGCTTGATACCCTGTTCATGGGAAAAGATAGATGACATGGACACACTGAATTGAAGCACAGTATGTCAAGAGTGAAAAATAAGACATTCGATGAACAAAACTTTTCATATGCAAAGTGAAAATTCTCTTTCAGAATAGAAGAGATTATACTGTTTTATTTGAGGCCAGAGAAGGAACTGAAAGTCTAATACTTCAGAACACTACAGTGACTACAAAGCTTTCCTTAGGTGGGAAAAGTGTCTGGCACCTGCTAGGTGACACAGGGGAAGTTTCCTTACCCAGTGACACCAAATGGTTATAGTTCTCCAGCATCACGTCCCAGTACAGGTCCTTCTGCGCAGGGCCCAGGAGCTGCCACTCCTCCCAGGTGAACTCCACAGCCACATCCTCCAGGGTCAGCGATTCCTGTAATAACAAAGTCCTATTTAATATGATATAAATTCCTATTATTAATATAGAAGTATAAGTGAAATTTTTATGATTTTCACCATATAGCCTGTACCTATATTCTCTTCTCAAATACATTTTGGTAGGAGCAAAATCCTATCTTTCTATCTATACATTTTTGCACCTATTTCCAAATACTAAACATGTACAAATGACATCCAGACAAAAAAAAAATTCCTACATTAATTACCACTGACTTCACAGCCAACAGGAAGATCAATGATGAAGCGACTCCACATCCTAAATTCATAAAATTGTACTTTTATATAAATGTAAAAGAATAAAAGAAACCATACAGCTATGTCTAAAGAACAAAAGATTATTCAAGCTGATGAGAAAAATATGGGTTGAAAAACCCTTCTAACAGAAAAACATATATATATACACACACATACATATCCTAATGAACAGATAACATCATAGTAGATACACCAAAGAGTTTAGTGGTGAACTGAAATATATATGTATATACAGCTGTGGAAATTGCAGAAAACGAAGTACAGAGAAAAATAGAGAAGAAATCATAACAAAGAAGTTAATAAATATACAATGTAAAGTCAAAAAATCTAATGTATGCTTACTTACAGTTTCTGAAAGGGAAAATAGACCCAAAAAAATTCTAAAAAAAAAAAAAAAGAAAAAGAAAAAGAGATATAGAGAGAAAATAGAGTAATGGAGAAACAATATCCAAAGATCTAAAAGCTGAAAAATTTCAAGACTGATTATTAAACACCTCAAATCTCATGTTCAGGAATCCCAACAAATTCCAATCAGGAAGTCACAACTGGTGTGACACATCTGACTGAAACTATCATACGCCAATCATAAAGGGAAAACTATAAAAGCATCCAGAAGCAAAAGACAGATGACCTACAAAGAAGTGACACTATTTAATGATAGCTGACTTTTGAATAATAGAATCCACAAAAGTATGGAATACTATCTTCAAAGTCCTATTTCTCATGTCAAAAAAGGCCAGACGTGGAAGCCATTAGAGACTGAAACACGTGGCCTAAGAACACTGACATTAGGGATCTGCTTGTCAACTACACTGCCATTCTCCTCCTTCAAAACAACTTTTCAGAGAACTGCAGGGTGTGAAGTAGAAGAAGCTAAAATCCAAGAAAATATTGATGAGATAATCTATCCCTATATTGTTGTGAGGGATGCTGCATAGAAAAGAAAGTAGGCTCGTGAGAGGGTGCAAAAGCTCAAGACTAGTCAGCTTATCTCACTCAAAAATATTTTATGTGCGATATCTACCCATTGGGTAAAACAGTAAAGTTAAATTCCTACCTCACTCCACAGTCCAGAAGAATTTATTACTGGTTGGAAATCCAATAGTAGGCCGACTCCAAGATGACCCCTAATAATCTTAGCCTCTAGCCGCAATGACTTCTGAGACCAGCTATTAACACCTGGAGTTAGGCCGAATTTCACAGTTTAAACGCATAGTCCTACACAACACGGCACTCACTTCAGACACCAGCTGCAAGCCTGAGGCTGCCCAGGCCACCCTCAACTCCAACCAGCTGGCTACAAATGTGGTACTACCACTAACCCCTAACCAGGTTTGATAATTTGCTAGAACAACTCACAGTACTCAGGAAAGTGGTATATTTACAATTAGCACTTGACCAGGGATGGGGACCCTGTGGCCTTCTAGGTCCTTAAGTGTGGCCTTTTGACTGAATCCAAATTTTACAGAACAAATCCTTTCATTTTTATTAATTCATTTTGTTCATCTTTTATTATTTTTATTTCATTTTTAAAATGAATGTATTTAAAACACCAAAGAATAAAATAAGTTTCAATGAAATAATCCTCCCAGATTGACTGGCACAATTAGAACATTAGTAAGCCACAAGGACTAAACTGACAGCTGCTACACTCATGTTTTACTTCTAACTTCCCCCGCCTGACTGGCGCCACTACCACACGAGGCTGGTCGGTGAGAGTTTATGGGGGTCAAGTACACCAGTCTGTTATCAGCCTTTGACAGCGGTGCACTGTGTTTCTGTCTGAAGTGGAATTTGTGAATAGTGGCACAGCTCAACAGTATTTTGTAATTCTGTCTACTTAACAGCCCATCATGTCAAAGAAGACCAAGAGAACACTGAAAAGGAAACAGATTTTTTAATGAGGATTGGGAATTACAATATTATCTTGTTTCTGCTAAAGAGAAGATTATTTGCTTGCTTTGATACTGCAATATCAACATTAAAGAAATTCAATGTTCACCAGCATTGTAACACTCATAAAGACTACAAATATTTTAAATTAGAAGAAGAGGCACGAAGGATTGTATTGCAGAAATTAAAAGAAAAGCAAAAGCAAAGACAATTCTTTCAAGCAGCAATAAGACCTGGAAATAATACCACTGAAGCAACTTATTAAGTAGCTTATACACTCGGGGAAAAAAGGGAAGCCATTCAGGGATGTAGAAATTGCGAAACAATGCATTGTCAAAGTTGTTGGATACTTAGACCCCAATAATGTTTCAAAGTACAAACAACTGCCTCTTTCAAGGAGAACCATAGCTGATCAGCAGCATGAAATTAGCCTTCAACTTAACAGAACAACTTCATGCAATACTTCAAAAGGAAAATATATATTATTCAATCACTTTGGATGAATCAACTGATACCAACTCGGTGCAGGTTTTATACTTCATTTGGGTCATAACAGAAGATTTTCTTTGCTACGATGAGTTACTCGCTTCGGATACTCTTGTGAATAGAACACAGGGAATAGATCTCTTCAACAACTTCTAAGATAAATGTTGTGAAGTTGGACTAAATTTGGTAAATTTAGTGAGTGTATGTACGGAGAGTACACCTTCCAGGACAGGAAAACATAAAGGGTTTATTGCACAGATAAAGAAAAATATTAACAGATCCAGATGCTCTCATTTCTTTTCATTGTATCTTGCATCAGCAAATTCTCTATGCTAAAGCTACTACTTTAAGTGACACTTAGCAACAAGTTATAAGTATTTTTAACTATATTCATACATGTTAAATTTTACAAAGAACAGAATCAGCAATGTGAATTATTGAAAGAAGATTTCTCTAGGAATGCAGCATTTCTGTGTGATATCATATCAAATCAAAACAACCTGAATATTTTTACCTTTGCAAGGTAAAACTAAGTCTGTATATGATATGTGGCATGAAAAATCCAAGCATTTCAAATAAAAGCTATCTTTTTTCAAAACATTTCATCCTCAAAAGGAAATTTCAGATGGACATTTTCCCCAGTTAGCAAAGGTCACTGATGAGCAGGATGATATATGCAAATCATTTGAAGAATACGTAGCTGTTATAGACCTATTAATTGGAGAATACAATGAAAGCTTCACTGACTTTGAGAATCATGACATCACACTCAAATTAGCATTTCAACCTCACCTGGTTGATGTCACCAAGGCACCTAAAGAGCTAGAGATGGAATTGATTGAGCTCTCAGTAGATGACATTTTAAAGACATTGTCTGATGCTAAGAAAGATCCAGCTGAAATATGGAAAAATGAAGTAGAATACCCAATGCCTTTGGCAACATGCCCAAAAAAATGCTTTCTTGCTTTTCAACCACTTATTGCTGCAAATTTACATCCTCCTACCTAACCCAAATCAAGACATCCTTAAGGTCACAAATGACTGATACCCATCTAGAGGATCAACTGTAACTGTGGACCTCCATGCTGCAACCAAATATTCAAATGTTTTCCAACCAAAAGCAGACACGACAAAGTCATTAAAACGTTAGTTAACTTTAAAATTAACAAAGAGTTTTCATATTTTGAAATTGTTAAGTACATAGTAGTTAGATTTTTACAAAATAATGTACATTTTTAAGTTATCTAATTGAAGTTTCTTGAAGTTTATCTAATTGAAGTTTCTTATTTGATTGCAGCTAAATTAATATGACTTTCCAACATGAAAAGGTTTCCCACCCCTGCACTTGACTATAGCCAAAGGTTACAAATCAGAACGAGCCTAAGACAAAGATGCTTATAGTGAGATCTGGGAAGGTTCCAAACACAAAGCTACTGATTGTCCTCTCCTCACAGAGTTCTGGATGGCATTACCTCTCCCGGGCTACGGTGTATTAGAATACACAAGGGTACTGCCAAACAGTGAAGTTCACCCAAACTCTGGTGTGCAGAGATTTGAGAATTTATTATGTAGGCACAATTTATTGAATCACTGGCCACAGAGGTGAATTCACTCTCCTGTCCCCTCCCTTTCCTGAAGGTTGGACTGATATTATATGGCTCAAAGCCACAACCCTTGAATCACACAGTTGGTCTTCCTGGCATAGAAAGCTCCCATCCTGAGTCACGGTATTAGCATAAACTATCTAGGTGCTTACCATGAGTCACCTCCTTAGCATAAACTATCAAGTATGGTCCCAATGGCCCACCATGAATAATAAAGACACTCTTATAACTTGGGTAATTCTAAGGGTTTAGAGGTTGTCTCCCAGGAACCAAAGACAAAGACCAACCAAATTCTTTACTACATACTGGGTATTCACGCTTCAGTGTAATACCATCCTCTTGAGTATCAACTGATCTAGTAACTTGTTTCTAGAAAAAAGAATACATGATACAGCAAAAGCGATGAGATGCCACTTTAAGAGTAGGCACTATATGACTTCCATTTTGCTAGCAGAATCTGTTCTTTGCTGGCTTTGATGAAACAACTTGGCATGTTGGGGAAGGCCATGTGGCAAGTAAGTAAAGGTGGCCTTAAATGGACAGACAAGTAGAAACTGAGGACCTCAGTGGAACAGCCTCATTTCTCATTTTGGATGAATTCTGCCAATAGCCACATAAATGAGCTTAGTGCATGCTTTCCCTTTTGAGCCTTCAGATGAGACTCCACCCTGGCTGACACCTTAACTGTAGCCTCATGAGAGACTGTGAAACAAAGTACACAGCTAAGCCATGCCCT